TTTTCTTTTATATTTTGACGTTTCATTAAAAAAAAGAAAAATAGGTGGAAAGAAACTTTCGGTCCGCCCTATATTGTACAATGAAACTCCATTTATTTGGTTCATTGAGAGCAAAGCGACTCGTGTATATTTCGCACGTAGAGAACTCTATAAGATCCAATAGCTTTATTTCCCCAAGATACTGTCCTGACAAGACACTGTTCTGACAAGCTGTCGTTTCAATGAACGAAATCTAAAAGCCAAAATCGCGTTGTGATCGATTCTGTAGCATCGAGTAGAAATTTAAAAAAGAGAAAAGAAAAAGCGAAATTGTCGATCGTAAGTTTCGTAAGGTTGGTGAATGTTACAAAGCACATCCGATGTATGTACGTACGTACATATTAACTAACGAGCACGGTTTACGGCGGCGTGTTTCTTTTATAATCGAACACGATGAAACCGAACCATCGTTTATCGCGGAGAAAGTGCGCGACAGCTTGAAACGAAACGGAGTGACGTTAAGCGAATTATTCTGAAATATTCGCCCGCGCTTTATTTATTATACGGTCCAGCAAGGTATCCCGTCGAGTTTTATTTAATTTGCTTATCTGCCGACTGGCTAATCGTAGCCGGACACGACACGCGTCTAACGATTACTTAGCGAGTTTTACTTTTCCTATTTGCACCTTTAACGCCCGTGTTATGTCTGTTTCTGTAACACACACACACTCTCTTTCTCTCATATATATATCGGCAGTTCACGTGCCTACCGACCACGTGGTAGTTTTATTCGCGCAGAACTTTTCCATGTACGAAGGAGTACTTACCAAGTGTCGTTGTTGGAAGTTTGATAAAGGTGAGGCGGCTGATTGTCCAGAATGGAGTCCAAGGCTGGCGAAGTGTAACCCTTTGCCAGGCCCGACGACAACGTTCCCATAGACAGCGCCAGGGTAGCCAACACCTACGAAAATACACAAACGAAATCTGTGAAAGCTTCTTCCTACTTTTCTTCCGTTTCTCTCCCCCCGCCCCCCCATTTCTCGTCTCATTCCTCGATTTCAAGAACGTCACTTGATGTGAATCGAGAACTTTCACTAATTGAATCGAAAATTCAGCTAAGAATGCAAACCTGAACACGCACACGTGAATTTTTAACAGTAATTATATTTTAACGAGTGTTTGCACGTAGAGTGCTAAAGAAACAAAATATTGACTTTCCAACAAAAAAAAAATTTTATGACCTCGTTATCGTTAATATTCTAGCGAAAATAAATTGTTCTCTTGTGAAGTCAGTTTTGTACTGCAGTTAATTTGAATGAAAAATTTATAGCTCTTGTTACAACTTCGTTATAAAAAAGATCATATAATAATTTATTTGGTCTCATTTTAAAACGTAAAGTTTTAGTTTTCAGCTGCCGTGAATTTGTCTTTTTTCTTCTCAAAATATTAGCCACGTAGCAAATGTGTCTTTTTTTCTCTATTTGTAAAAATAGTGAAAAATTTTATTTATGACGAAATCCATCCACTTTTAAAAAATTTTAAAGACTTCACAAGTTTTAAAGAGTTGTAGATTGGAAAATTTAATTTAATTTAATCGTAAATAAAATTTTTCAGTGTTTTTACATATGTATGTAATTTTTACAAAAACAAAAAACACACACACACATTTGCTACACGGTGTTGAAATATTTTGAAAAAAAAAAAAAAAAAAAATTCAAGG